TTATCCGATTCTCTGAGAAACTTTCATGAATATTTAGAGGAATGTTCAAACATGAATGTACAGTAGGGCCAATTTCATCAACTTTATTAATGCAAAAATATGCAGTAGTTATGTCGTGGCCTTTAAAACAATACTTACGACCGTTTTATGGCTGAGTTAACATTGTCGTTCATGATTCTATTTTAGAAGGGGATACAAATGCTGACATTGACAGCAATATCGTTTTGCGTGTTCAAAATTGAATGTACAGTACGGCCAATTTCATCAACTTTATTAATGGAAATATATGCAGTAGTTCTGTCGTGGCCTTTATAACAATACTTACGACCGTTTTATGGTTGAGTTAGCATTTTCGTTCATGATTATATTTTAGAGGGGGATACCAATGTTGACAATGACAGAAATATCGTTTTGCGTTTTTCTTTTACCAGTACATCAAGGCATAGGCATATCATCTTTATCAGGACGTAATGTGTTTTGTATACTGCTTTGTTAATCCGTCATCATTTTCATCTACAACCCTAAATGATATAAAATTATACATTAGTTATTTCCTCTCCAGACGACCGCCCAGATTTATTTTGTCGCTTTTTCCAACAAAAATTAAAATGTCAACAAGGATTTGCTCTTAATTTTATCAAATACATAATAAATAATCTTCATTATTTTTTAAAAAAATTATCCTAAATTTATATGTCAATAAAAAAAAATATCTTAAAAAATATATAAATAATTTGCATATAAGTTTCATTAGTGTTTAATGGCATTTTTGTAATTTAAATAGACAGCATTTTTTTTTTACTTAACATAAAAAAATATATCCCTTATCAAATTCTTTGACAAATAATTTCAGAAATGCAAGACATACATTAAATTTATCTGAATAACAACAATAACCCTATATAATAAACAACATATTTTTTAGATATAATTTTAATTGATCATATTATAAAAAAGTATAAAAGTCGGTTATTTTTATTTTATTTGTCATGATTCTCTAATAAGTGGTTACCCAGACCTTCCCAGTTTCTCTTAATACGGAATTTACATGTTATTTTTCCATATTAGACTAATTGGTAAATCAGATATTTCCCGTTCATGTGATGATATTAGAAATCTCCGAGGCGGGAAAAAATTTTCAAAATTATAATCGGTAGGACTTGGCTTGGAATTTTAAAATTAATATTAGCTTTCACCTGACTTTGGAATATCTTTTACAAATAAAAAAGTTAACCAAAAATGTTTTTAAAGAAATGTAATATAAGCCAAAGATAAGTCTTAAGGCAAAAGTGAAATGTATTAAATTATAATAATAGATCCATAAAAATAATATAATATATCAGAGTTGTTAACGCTCATTTTTAAAAGTAGCTAGCTCACGCTCCCGCTCCTACTTTCTCAAAAGGAGCTAGCTCCCGCTCCCGCTACTACATCTTAAAAGAAGCTAGCTCCCGCTCCAAGTAATGGAGTGCCACTCCATAGCCGCTCCTTTGATTTTCATTTTTTTAGAAGGTGTACGAAACAAAATCATATTTTTTTTTATCAAAAAGCTTTATTTATATTAAATGACATATCAAAATATTTATAACCTTTTATTAGCTTTTAAAAGTAATAAATTTTCTAAATTAGAATCTAACAAACATCCACGCTTCTCCCCTAATACCTGTTTTGCAATACTAAATAGGCACTCCACGGGAGCACTAGGGGGAAGCGGGGTATTGTATATTATAAAGATATTTTTTAATTCAGGGAATTTATCAAAAATAGTAATTTTGGTATCATTATTTAAAAAATATTTGTCCAATATATTATCTTCCTGATGATCAATTTCATGAAATCCAAAAAAATCTTCCAAATCAATTTGTATTTAAAAGAAAGATTTTTTTAGATTGAAGCTGCTCACTTTTGAAAATTAAATAGTTTCATTTAAACACAAAAGACATTTTGCCCTTAAATTTGTTTGATCATTTGGATCAACATCTTTTAGAAGTTTAAAATATTTTTGTATGATGGAAATGGAAATTCGATTTCTTCATCTATGATCTCTAAATCCATAATATAAAACTATTTTTTATTATATATCTATAAAATGAATATTAATATGACTTACAAGATTTTCCAAAAAATTTTCCATATAAAAAGGAAAACTTGATGTTTAATATTTAAAATGATTAGATGAATAACCAATATAAAACTCGGCTAAACATTTATAATGGATAAATTTAAATTAAATAAAATTTCATTTTGGTTGAATTTTAATTAATAAATATTATTAATATTTAAAAAATAATTCAATTTATACATTAAATTTAAAGGCGCGGTGGAGCGGCGCTCCTTCACTCCAGCCCTAAAAGGCGCTAGCTCCTGCTCCCCAATTTTAAAAAGGAGGGGCGCTCCAGGTGTTTTTGAAAAAATGTAGCGGCGCTCCTTAACAACTCTGTAATATATAAAATATATTTTTTTATAAAGTGAGTAATTTTAATTTATTTATCCTAATAAAAATAAAATTAATTATAAAACTATTGATAAAGTTAAATCATAAAAATAAAAAAAATTAAAGCACAATCTATACAAACATTGGAAATATATATGTTGTAGATTTACAGTATATCTAATTTTATCAATTATCATATGACAATCAAATAATTTTTACCAATACGAATTCTATATTTTACAGAAAACTATAAAATACTGATAAGGACATCAGAAAATATCTTTTAAAGACATTGTGGGATGAATGATATGATGATTGATTTATAGTATAATTTTTTATTTAAATAGATGGCGTTAAATAACTAAATGCAGATTGTTGCTATATTTATTATCAAGAGCATTGATTAGTAAAATTTGTTAATATATTAACTGTAATATATTCTCTAGTGTCAAATATGTCTTTAAAAGTGGAATTTTACCTAGTATTTTGTTGCCAATTATATATGTAATAGAGGTATATCAACTATATGTCTACTTACATTTTGTGTATAAATTTCTTATACTAGTTTGGAATAAATTATTACCATGCTTTTATATTAATGTATATACAAGTAATTTATTATATTATATATTAAACTAATAAAAATATATTTCATATTTGTTCCAGTCTTATAAAATAACCTTCTATCTTGCAAAAATATTTTATGACTATATATACACTAAGGTAACCCGGCCGAAGGCCAGGCCAAAGCGGGCCTAAGGTCCGCCTCAAATGAGGTCTAGGGGCGAAGCCCCCAGAAAATTTTTAATTCCCCCCCCCTTTGGCTACGCTTATATGACCAATATGTAACTTAATGTGATGACCAAACCAATATGTAACTCAATGTGATGATCAATAACCAATATGTAACTTAATGTGGTGATGACCAATGACCAATATGTAACTTAATATGATGACCAATAACCAATATGTAATTCAATGTGATGACCAATAACCAATATGCAACTTAGTGTGATGACCAATGACCAGTATATAACTTAATATGATGTGATGACCATTAACCAAACCAAAATGTAACTTAATATGATGACCAATAACTAATATGTAACTCAATGTGATGACCAATAACCAACATGTTACTCAATGTGATGAACAATACTAATTAACTCAATGTGATGACCAATAACCAATATGTAACTCAACGTGATGACCAATAGCCAATATGTAACTCAATGTGATGAAGAACCAATATGGAAGTTGGACAATAGGCTATGAATTCTATATAGTGAAACAAATGATGATTTACAAAATATTTTAAATCCACCAAGCTTATATGACAAAATCATGATTGAAGAAGGCAACTTACGATAAGGATATCAAGCTAACGATGTGGTCTAACCAACGTGTAGTGTTGTTAAACGGCTCGTTTTGAGCCGATTTTTAAAAACGGCTAACTCAATATTTCCTCCAAAATAATATTACGCAAAGCCTCAAGATTAAGGAACAAAGGCGGGCATCTATTAGCTAAATCTCGTGGTTTAGGCAATATTTTTTTGGCTAAAATATTGAGTTAGCCATTTTTAAAAATCGGCTTAAAAATAGTCGTTTAACAACACTACCAACATGATAGAATCAAGCCAACGATAACGCATGATGGATGCTACTACGAAAATAGCCAAAATTGCAGACCATTTGAACAACAAGCTCTCACATCTCAGATGAAGGAGAATGTTAAATAAGGGAGTTGATTTTTTATATTTAAATTTGTATTGATATTTTATATAACTTTAATTGGTATTATTTTAATATAACCTTATTTAATATGTTGATGAAAACTTACGATTATTTTAGCTTGTAACCTTGCTTTTGTTTAAAATATTTTTGTAATATATTTTGATATTTTGTTTAATCAAATTTGTATTTAATATAAATGATATATATACCTTATTTTTTGATAATAGTTTTTAGTTTTTTTTAGATTAATGTAAAATATAATAATCTCAATAAACGCATTTTTTTTACTTTTCTTTTGTTCACTTTTTGCACCATATTAACAATTTTATAATTTAAATCCCACAAATGAATGTAGCCGTTAGTCTGGCTCATCCAGGCCAATAACAATAAAACACAAAGATTAAATTTAATATAGAATTGCCTTGCTATTTTTAATCGTATCCTGGCTGATTAAATTTATGTATAGATAATACAATTTTTATAATTTGAATACTTTGTAGTAAATTACTACATATCCATAATCGATCATTTTTTAAGTTATAGTAGAACAATATACTTAGATTTTTTAAAATTTATATGTTCATAAGCATTTAATAATTCATCATTTTATATCTATTGAAACTTAATAGATATAATCAAAAAATAAAATTATTATCTGGAATATTTGAATTTATAATGTCAATAATGTCAAAGAAAAAAATGTTCGCATGTTTTTTAATTTCTTACAAACTAGACAATTAAATATTTATTTTTTATTTTTATCCTAATTGATTACGATTATACGAATAAATAAACTTGCAAAACCGAAGAAATATTTTCATCATAATTTTACTATTCCGATTTTCTTGATTATATTATAAAAATACTCCCACTGGCTAATTTACTCAAAGGTACATCTGGTCAAACTCTTGTTGATAGAGTTACAGCTGCTAAACATACTTTATCAGGAGCAGGATTGGCCAAATCAGTATGTAAAGCAACTACAGAAGAAATTATAGCTCCTAAAAGAAAACATTTAGAAGGTAATTTAAGTATTTTATTTAAAGTTACATAGTAATATAATCAACTATTTTATTCATGTCTAAAATTTTTAAGTAATTAAATTATATTCTTTAATAATAAGCTAATAAATATATTCTTGACAATTAAATTAACTTAATTTGTTTAAAAATTTATATATTACAAAATATCTGTTTTTATCATTGAGGTAGATAATAATTATAAATCAAGCTCACATCAGTGTTTTTTGAAATTAATATATTCATTTATTAAACTTTTATAAAATTACACAATTTAAATATGTAATAAGTATCTTGCAAATGATATTATTGATTATGGTGATTTTTATTTTTAATCATCTTATATTGTATATTTGAAATAAACCTATTAAATGCAAAATATTTGAAATAAAAAATAGAGCTGATAAATATTGAAATTGATATTTTTAAAAAAAATAAGATGAAGAGGTTTTTTTTTGGTTTAATTTAAAATATCTCTGAAATGAATATATAAAATTTTATAGTAGATATCTTATAGAAGATTTATAATTATTACTCATTGTAAGTAAATAAAAATTAAGATTTGGCAAAAATGATTATCTATTTTTATTTATTATTTGATAGTCTACACTCTACAATATAATATTCACTTTTTCTAAATTGGAATATTGAAAAATGGTACTAATTTTATGTTTTACAATAATATGGACCCACCAAAAATTTTCAGGAAGGAGGTGGGGGTCTTGTTAATTGTTGGGGATGGGGAAAATTTTTTTAAAAAAATAAATAGACATTCATATATTTTTTGCTATTTTTATTGAAAATTTCTAAATGCAAACTTTAAAATAATTAAAAGCTAAATTTTGGGTATTTTTTCATAAGCCATTAAAATTAAATTTGTTTTATTAAAACTTTCATCAATTATCCAGTGATTGATAAAACCCTCTTGAATGAAGAATGAGCCCCCATAAAAAGCTGTTGATTCCCCAATGACTGGCTGTTACATTTAGATAATTCAAATGTAATATAATATTTTTTATATTAATAATATTTTTAAAATAACGTTTTTCTGCTATTTTGGTTGCTATAATCTCTTTGTGATTTTCATTTCGCAATATGTTTCAATGTTAAAGCTTAACAAGGATGTTATTGGGACCATCTTATCTGCAATAAAATAATTTTTCAAAGGGGGGCAATGTATCAATTAATACAAGATACAAAGTTATAATCAATGTAAATCTTTATAAAAAACGTTTAACAAAATAATTATTTGATAATATATTTTTTAAAGAACTTCATTTAGAGTCCTTTTCACAAGCAAATTTTGGTATGAACTAAAAAAAATAATGAAGATTTTTAGGCAATTTATGAATCCTTGAATATTTTTCGGGAGTCAGATTAAACTTTGATATCAGATTTTCAGTCAATCTTTATGATGTCAAATGAATTTTATTGATTATTATAGTCAATTTTTAGCATTTACTATATTAGTATCTGCTGAATGAAGATACTTATTAATTGACACAAAAGATCAATAGCTTCAACTAAATCATTGGCAAAAACCTCTGAGAAAATTTCTACTGGGAAAGTAAAATGATACTAAACCAATAGCCTCAAAATTCTCATATATGGTATGAAATGTCTACAAATGATCAACCCATCTCTGGTCTAAAAGCTTTTTAAGTATATGACCTGTATGTTTACATGATTGTTAAAACCCTAAAAAAATTGTGTGATGCATGCTATATTGAAAAAATTATAGCAATATTTTGATATCAATTATTAACAATTAGATTCAACTTTTAATTATTAATTTTTTTAGAACAAGGTTGGTACTTCTCCATTTTGATATCAATTATTAACAATTAGATTCAACTTTTAATTATTAATTTTTTTAGAACAAGGTTGGTACTTCTCCATTTTGACTAGACATGACACCTATGTCTGGTTTATTAATGTTTTTCTGTATAATTCAAATAAACTTATTGTATATTGTATTTATAACTTTTAAAAAATAATATTCTAATTTTTGCCATATTATTTAAATTACTTATAAAAAAATGTTCTGGGTGTCCCACTCAAAATTTTTGCTGATGACAAACTACTCAATTAATTTAGGTGGTTTAGGGAGACTCACAAAAATATTCCTAGGTCATCTTGTGTTTCGGAGTTTTATTGTATGAGTGTAATTTCTAGGTCGTTATCTTAATTAAAATTGTAAGTTTAGAAATTGCAATTGATGTGATATTAAAGCACTGTGAATATCCACCTATTTACATTGACTCTCTTTGATTGGTCTCTCCCTATCTTAATTATATTTTTTTGTAGAATATCCACCTACTTGATTCTCTTCGATAAGTCTCACTATCTAAATTATAATATTTTTTGTGAAATATCCACCCATCTACCTTGAATCTCTTAGATAACTCTCTCTCCATCAAGATTATCAAATAAAAATTATATATATATCGCAAGATACATATAGAGGCACATATTCAAGACTGGCTTGGATTTTTAGATTTTTAAGCTTTGCTAGATTTAATTATTTTTTCTAGAATGATTCTTTAAAAAAAAATTTAAAATAAAATTTGATTTGTTTCAGGCTTGGAATGGCCCTAATCAGGGTTGCCAGGTTAAAATTTTCAAATTTTGGGAGAAATTTGTTATTTTGAGGGTTAAATATGAAAATTACTGTAGAAATGTAAAAATTGCTAAAAAAAAATTTTTTTTGTGGGAAAGTACTGGACTATGGCCAGGATTGTGAATCCTTAGTTATCCCCCTATTAATTCTTATAATTACTTTATAAATATTAACAAAGTAGGTAACGTTTTATAATTTCAAAATAGGTATATTTTATATTAAAATTTCTACTTCTTTGTCTTGGAGTTATTTTAATTTTTTATATTATATATAAAAGAATTTAAACGTGATACGTGTTAATTAAGCACCTAGAATATGAATAAATGATGTTGATTTATTATTGTTTAAAAATAAAACATATGATTAAGGTAAAAGAATAGAAAGAAATTTACAAACGACATGTTATTTCAATAAATACTTAAAATTTATTTTAAAAATATAAAAATAATCAATTACTCAAATTTATTATCTATAATATATAAAAAGACATGTCACACTTACAGTGTCACAGTCACATGTCACACTTACAGTGTCACAGTCACATGTCACACTTACAGTGTCACAGTCACATGTCACACTTACAGTGTCACAGTCACATGTCACACTTACAGTGTCACAGTCACATGTCACACTTACAGTGTCACAGTCACATGTCACACTTACAGTGTCACAGTCACATGTCACACTTACAGTGTCACAGTCACATGTCACACTTACAGTGTCACATGTCACAATTTATAATATGTATTTAAAAAATCCTGAATTTTGAAAAGCGACTGTGGCCTAATCGGCAAGAGCATCACTTACAAATACGATGGCTTTGGGTTCGAATCACAGCTAAGATCATTTTTTTTCTTTATCCTACTTCGTGGTTCTGTCCTTTAGGATGGGCATTAACTAAATTACCATTGGGCCTGAAAATGTTGTCATTTGCAGACCTCTTTCTTTCTATGGGAAAATAAAAGTGACAGACACATATCATTTATAAATGGATTCTTTGGCAGAGGTAAAATACATTATGATCTGCTGTTTCCGATGTAATCTTGACCAGAGGTCTGTAATGGGCAAGTTTTGGTGCACCTGCTTGCTCATTTATTTAAAAATTTTGTTTAACTTGCCTGTCCAATGTTTAAAAATTATTTTATTGGTTGATTTGGCTCTTTATGTATTATTTTAATGTTTTTTACTTAGACTTATAAATTATGAAATAAAAAAATAATATCTAATAATAAATAGAAGTCAGTTGCTCATTTTGACTGAAATTTATTTCAAATTCTCCTACTCATTGTTTTAAAAATATTTTTAATCCCCCCCTCCCCTTCACTCACCAACCTAATATCTTTCAGTATATCCACAGAGTTAGACAAAACCTTCATCTAGCAAGAAAATTTTTTTAGGTTTTAAATTGCAAATGAATGTATAAAAATTCATTTAGGAATTTTTGTTTATTGAGCACATAAATATAATTTTTACAGATTTTATGAAATTAATAAAATGAAAATTCATATGTTCCGATTATATATTTATATTGAAGTTAATAAATATATCAGAGACCTGTATGTACCATTTGCACAGCCTGCCCTGGATTTTTTAAAAAAAATTTTTTGGCATAGCTCGGTCTGGATTTTTAAGATATATTAAATTTATTTTCAATTTTTATAGATAATAATGGCTATTTAAAATATACAACCCGACCTGGATATCTTTAAAATTTTTAGCCCCACCCTGGGTATATTTAAAAAATTAAAATATGGCCTAACCCCTGTACCTGTGTCAAAATATATTTTCTTATAATAATGATCATCTTGAACAATGGATCCATATCATTATAAGATGCAAACTTATTCAAAACTCTGTGGATAACAATTTACCAAGGAGTGCTTTGTTGCTTCCATTGTTAATAAAAATCCATAAAGGAAGGATCCATTCCCACAATCTAATAAATATTTGCATTTTATATGATTACTAGCTGATGTCACATAAGAATGACAAGGAATTAGTATTCTCCTTAATTTGATAATGGATAAATCAGAAATAAGCCTATATGAGGTGTGAATCAGAAATTTACCTTATTTTGATGAGATTTAATTCCAAAATTTTTATTATTCTTATAATATATTAATGAAGTATATATATATACTTATTGCATTTAATATGTACAAATATTTGAAACATGTTTGAATATATTTTTTTAATTTGTATTAATTTCCTTATTTTTTTAATTTTTATTATTTATGTACTCAATAAAAAACTTAATCTTGCTAGATGAAGATTTTGTATATTGTTATCATGGAAAAAGATTTTGGATTTGGACTTATTAAGAATGAGTCAAATTGGCTTTAAGAAATTAAAAACTAATTATTTTAGGAAGAGCATCACAGAT